TGCTCTGGGACACTAAGCCTGATTTTCCCGGCTGGCCCCCCCCCCCCAAAGCCCCATCCCCTTGCAGGGCCGAAGAAGAGGGCCCTCCCTCAGGGTTACCTGTGGAAGAGGCAGGGCTGCTTCCCGAACATCACCACCACATTGCTGCCAGCATTCAGGTTGGCACCCGTGATAGTCACCTGGGTGCCCCCGGACATGGGTCCCCGGCTGGGCTTCAGGTCTGAAAGGGTCAGTGTCTGCGTAGAAAGGATGTGTCCTTAGACACGAGCAATCACCAGACAGGAGGAGCCTTCCCCCCTTCCCCAGCCACCTTTTGGAATCTGTCATGGTGGCCTCCCAGCTTTCTTAGGCTCATGCGGATAGACAATGTTCTGGACCCCGAGAGTTTGCATCTCTAGATTAATAACAGTAATAATCATAGCCACCATGTACTAATTTTTAAGTGTCAAGCTTTACATCTTCATCTATAGTGATATTATATACACACATACATACAATTCAGTCACCCAATGAATTCTATAAAGTAGGTATTAGTTCCTATTTCACAGACAAGATTCAGAGACGTTCAGCCAGTTTTCTAAGGTCACACAGCTAAAAAGTGGCATAGCTGAGACCTGACCCCAGAGCTCTGGTTCTCAATCACCTCTTCAACTTACAGTCTCTGCTGCTTTTGGAAAAGTGACTTGTCTCTTCCACAGGCCTTCCAGAGAGCTGCCCAAAGCACCCAGTGTCCAGAGCAATGGGACGCAAGGGTCCCAGGGAAACCCAAGGGGAGAAGCATAGAATGGTCAGTTGCTCTCAAGGCCTGCCCACCGCCACAGCCAGAACAGGACCAGTGAGGAGTCCAGGTGGAGGATGGGGACAGGGAGGAAAAAGCCTGTGACAGCTGGGGATTTGGAGTTGCAGTTCGTTCTTTCATTAGCATTTTAATGGAAAAACTTTCCTCAGTCCCAGGTGAGAAGCCGGTATCTGCATTTAAATGAAGATTTCTCTCTCCTCCCCAGCCACCTACCCCATAAAGAATTCAGCACCAAAAGTCAAACCTGCTCGGTTCCTCAGAGTGGGCTGGCAACCTCCCCACGGAGAGGCAGTGACACCTAGGGAGATAAAGGGGGGCCCCAGAGGAGTCTGCAGGGCCCCTGCCTGCCTCACATGCACCCAGGTCCAGGCACAGGGTACACGGGGGGACATACATGAAATCACAAGCTGACCACAGTCCCAGGCCCCTCCCCCTCAGATCCCAGCACCCAGCCTTTACAGATCCCGGGTCTAGCATCCCCATAGCATGGCCAAGCCAAAGAACAGCTCTAATCCTGGCTCTGTTACTGGTTCAACTGGAGACAGGGAAGAGGGTGGGATGAAGCTATGGAAAGAGCCCACATTCTCAGCTCTGTCTGGATCCAGACACAGCCTCCCTTGTCACAAAATCAGGGGCTGCCCCTGACAGTTTTCTTGTTCTGTAAGTTGCACCTTTCCAAATGGTGCCTTTGTCCCTTTGTCAAGGGGTCCTGCTAACCTCCCCGGGGCGGGGTGGGGAGGGGAGAGAATGTCTATCTGTGGACACAGGCAAGGAGGCAGGGGTGGTCCTAGAGATATAGTCGAAACCAGGGAAGTGAAGATCGACGGGGCGCGTGTCCCCAGCAGCCTGTGGGAGAGGGCTCTCAGGAGGGCTGGAGGTGAGTGACCCCCACAGGCTTCGCAGCAGCTCTGCTGTTGGTGCTGGCTGGTGGGGGAATGGTTCCAGGGGTGGGGGGGGGAGGATGTTATGGAGACGTATTTCAGAGTTGTGAGAAACTATTAATTATTCAAGTCATGCTTCATAAATATTTCACGGTGGGTTTGCACGGGAAATCAAATTCTGCCTTCCCGGCCACCTCTTCACTTGGCTCCATGCAGGGAGACCTCCAGGGACAGAGCTGGTGATGAGACCAGGAGTGCTGATCTGGGGCCCCTTGGCCTTGGCGTTTGGGTTCTGGGTGAATAAACCCACACTCCAGAGTCTGGCCTGACTTGTGGAGGGAAACTGAGGAAGACCCAAATCTTGTTCCCTCTCCCTACTCTGGCACTGGAAAGGGGCTCTCCAAAATGCCCCAAGTCCCCAGAGGAGTTTGGGGAAGGGGATGACCAGGTGTTTCAGGACTCCAGAGGAGCTAGGGGGCTTCTGTGTGGGCCCAAAGTGTGGTGTCTGCAAGAAGCAGTGGGGGCTGGAGATGCTGGCGAGCATGACAGGGGGATTCTGTCCTTCCTCACCCCTGACAAGACTCCTGGGCATCTCCACCTCTCCTTCCCACCCAGAACCCCCAGGAGCTCTGAGGGGGAAGGCTCCATAACTGAACCCCAAAATGCAAATTGGGGCCAGGGAGGAGACCAAGTCCCAAGCACCACTCCTTCTCCCTGAAAGTCTTCCCAACTGGACTTCCCAGGGCAGTTCCTCTGAGGTGTCCCTCAAACAGAAAAGTGACAGGAGTCTTTGAGCCCAGTGACCTGTAGGACCAACACGTATCTGCCTTATTCCTGACCAGCCTCCCTGCTCCAACCTCTCCCTCCCTCTGTTCCCATCTGCTGCTGCAGCTCCCTGCCACACCTTATGTCAGAAGAGCCACCACTACTCAAGACCCCCATGAAAAATCACATTCTGCCTTGGACAAGTCCTGCCTTTCCATTCAGCTTCTTCCAGAAAGCCTCCCCTTCATACCTGAAATCCAACCACCCCCTGCTCCAGGGTAGAAGAAATCTGTAGGCACGACTGGACCTTTCCTGAGAGCAGACAGGACGTTCCAGAGGCATGAAAACAAAGCAGAGAGCACCAGGCACGTGGTGGCTTCTCAATAAACGTCTGCTTATGCCCCACCTGTAGGACCTGATTTAGTGGGGGAGGTGGGGAGACTCCAGAGCTTTTATTTAAAGCCCCTCAGGAGATTCTAATGTGCATGGAAGTTTAGAACTGCCTATGCCCTGTGGGGGCCAACAAAGGAATAAAGGCTGTGGGCTTCATCTCCAGAGCCTGGCTGGCCTGAGGAGAAGAGCTGGGAGGACACAGAGGGGACCGCTGAGTGCCCTGCAGGCAGATGCAGATCAAGCACTCAGAGAAGAGCCAGGAGCGGCTCTCAGGCAGGGCTTTGAAGGATGGGGAGGACGTGGTTTGGTGCGACCAGGGAAGGAGATAGAGAAGGGAAGGGGACAGGGATGCAAAGGCTGGGGAAACAGGGTTGGACAGGCAGGTGGCCAGACTGGGGGACTTGAAAACATCCTACAGGTAGTGGGAGCCCAGGGTCTCCTTGAGATGGGGCTGATATGATGAAAATGGCATTTTCATGGTGGCATGTGAATTAGAAAGGAGTCAGAGCAAAGGCAGGGCAGAGATTGATGGACAGTGGGAAGGTAAGACTCCAGGACATAGTGACGCTTTGATGTCAGGAACTAAGGGAAGCTGAGCCACAGTCCACCAAGATTGTGGGCCTGGGGAGTAGGTTGATGGCAGATGCGGGCAAATCTGGAGGATGCACTGTTGGTGGCAGCTGACAGCCCAGAGGGCCATGTGGAGATGATGGCAGGCCATCCAGGTGGCAGTGGGCTTTGATCTGGTCACAGTAGTGAGAGGCCCAGCTGCAGACACAGGGCAGAGGCAATGGAGGCCCAGAGGAAACATCAGCTTGATGGGTAGGAGGCTGCTCTAGTGCTGTCCACTGGACATCCAGGGCCACTGCCAAGGACCACAGGGCACAAAATGGTCTGGGTGGTTGGCCAGCCAAGGAAGTCTAGCACTTGCTTTGGCTGTGCAGTGGTTTCTTCCCTTTCCCTCGGCTGCCAGGTAACGTCAGAGCCAGATCATATGCCCAGTGTTAGCAGCAAACACCTGGCGAGTGTCACCTCTGTCTCAGTCTCGCTCTCCGTTTCTCTCTCTCCATATATGTATATATAATGTACAATATATATACATGCTTTATATATAAATACATATATGTTTATCACTATTTGTCTTAATGTGTACTGGGTTTAACTTGGAAATACCTTCACATCCTTCCAGTAGGCGGCAGGGGCATACATCCTAAACACATAAGTAAAACTACACCTCCATGAACCCCATTCTATGTGTGCGTTCTTCTGCATGAGCTCCCCTGTGTATTTAACGACAGCCCACCGTGTCCAGAGGGTGGCTGGTTTTCAAAGAGCGGGGGTGGGCGGCAGCAGCAGGCCCAGGCAGGGAGGGGCATGGGACCCCCACTCCTCTGAGGTTCGGCCCCACCACGTTCAAGTCTGTGTTCAAGTCCTTGGGCGCAGTTGATCTTCTCCCCCTTCCAGGCTGTGGGCTTCCTGGGGGAGGGGCTGCTACTCATCACTGTAACCACCGCAGCCAGGGCCATCTAATTATATTGTAAAATTCAACTCAATTAAATAAGTATTTATTAAAGAATCTAGTGAGAGGTGTTGTGCAAGGTGAAGGGAGGAGGAGGAAGAGAGAGGAGGGGGTGGGTGAGAGAAGGAAGGGGGAAGGGAGGAAGGGAGCAGGGAAGGAGGGAGGGGAGGGTGAAGGCCGGAGACCTGCGACGTACTTCAGGGCATTTGATGCCTGAAATAAAATCCATCTCTTCAGGCTTCCGGCTTCCAAAAGCAGCTCAGAATCATGAAGACACTATACCATCACAGTTGTCATTAACTCAAGAAGTTTAGTTTGAAGATGATGGGCCTGTGTGGCAGAGAATGTGTTCATGTCTCCACCATCTCCATAATCACAAGGCCGAGCAGTTCCAAAAGCCCCTGCCCCCCAGAACCCCTTGCCAGGCAGCCTTTGCAAAGATGGGAGGATCCAGGCTGGAGGGAATTTGGGGATTGGGGGGATTGGGGGGAGACCTGCAGAGAGTCCATGGGGCGCAGGAAGGCGTAGTGGGGTGGCAGGTGGGGGTAATGGTGCCAGTAGGAACCGAGGCCCAGAGAAGATAAGCAACTTGCCCAAATTTACCTAGTCAGTGACAGAGACAGGGCTCAAATCCCAGGAGTCTCCAGACGAAGCCCACGTTCTCACCTCCTACCCTGTAACGCCATCACTCAGTCACACGGGGACACGGCCCACAGAGCTAAAGCAACTTACCTGAAGCTGCACAGCCAGGCACAGCACAGTCTGGATTTGAATCCAGGCCTCGTGGGCTTCTGAGGCTGAGCTCTCACTCACTATAGGACAGGACTTCCATGAACTTAGGGGGCCTGCAGAAGGCTCTTGCCCTGGGTTTTCCCACTGAGGCCTACAGGGGCCCAGCGATCGTGGCAATGAGGTTTGCTGTGGCCTGTGCCTGCCAGGCCACTGGGGGTCAGGACTCACCATGAAGTAATAGAGCTGCGAGGACCGGGCCATGAACTCGGGCCGACAGACGGCCACGCAGATCTCCACGAAGCCTGCGTGCTGGCTGGGCTTGGCCTCTCCCATCTCACACACAATCCTGTGGGGAGGAAAGGACAGAAGCCCTGGGTCACAGGACTCCCAGCCATGACCTGGGCCCTACAGCAACCAGGCTAAAGACTTGATCCATATTTCCAAATTGCCTTCCAAAACAATTGTCCCAGGCCCCTGCTCTGCAAAAGGGTCTCAGGGATGGGCAGGGGAGGAGGGGGTGAAAGATACCTCGATTCCTCTCTGTGGGGGCTCCTCCTTGGTTCTTAGGAAATGAGGAAACTCAAGCTGTGGGGATCTCCTTTGAGGGAGCCAAGGAGAGGGTCCCTATGTTCTGACCCTAGCACTCAGTCCCTAATTCATGACTGGCCACTCAGTTGTTAATTAGAGTGGAGGGTGTGTTTCAGTCAAATGGCTTAGGCAATAGAGCTGGCAGAGCCCAGAGAGGTAAAGTGACTCACCCAAGAACCCACAGCAAATCACATACAGAACTTGCAGCTGACCTAAGTTTTTCAGGTCCTTGCCTGGGAGCTTTTTGCTCTCAATGCTTCGGCTGTCTTAGCAAAGTGCTTTATACTCCCAGACAGCTCCAGCTTCCCAGCTGGGCGAGGAAGAGGTACTTGTGTGTGTATACGTATGTGTGTGTGTGTGTGCAAGTTTTTCTCTTAAAATTTTTTTTTTGATTGCTTTAATTATAAAATTTGTTTGCAATCTTTGGATATAATTAAACAGTACGGAAGTGTGACAGTTAAAAAGTGAGTGTTTCTTTCTTCACTCCTAACCACTCAAAAGTTTTGTATATACAGCCTTGCAGACATACATATATGTATATATATATTTTTTCCATTTTATAGAAAAGAAATGGAGGTACAGAAAAGTTAGGCAACTTGCCCAAATGTATAGATTTCTATACACATACACATATATACATACATAATGTATATACATGTTTATGTTTCATATGAATGTGACACATAGACATAAATGTTATATATACAAACACATATACAATTATATACAAACATACATACATAAAGAAACATATATGCTAAAGATAAAAATAAAACATAACATACTGCTCTAAATACCTCTGTTTTACGCAACAACTGGCATGAACTTTCCCTCACATCACTGTATACATAGCTCTTCTCTATTCTTTATAACAGCTTTGCAATATTTCATACCATAACTGCTCCATCATTTAGATAACCATCATCCTACTGATGGACATTTAATTATCCTGATTTTTCCCTACTCCAAATAATCCTTTAAAATGAACCAATGTACACACACATCCCTAAGCACTGTACGAGTATATTTATTAGATAGACTTCTAAGGAGGAAACCTGCTGGGTCAAACGGCTTGTGTATTTAGCATCTGATAGGTACAGCCAAGTAATGCCGCAAACAGGCTGCACTGCCTGGCACTTCTGTCAATGGGCCACTCTTTTGCCAGCACTAGATAACTAGCACTCCTTTGGAAGTGTTTCCAATATAATAGGAAAAAAGGATCCCATTTTTATTTTAATTTCCCTGATTACTAGTGAGGTCCCACATATTTTCATGTTTTTGTTTTTATTTTTTACAGCCTATCCTTTGGTCTGGTGAAGGTCTCTCTCTATGTTGCTGGTGGATTCTCTTTTTCTGTAGGAACTCATGAAGTAGGAGTATTAACTTTCTTCTGTTAAAAATATTGCAGTTATTTTCTCCCATTTGTCATCTGTCTTTCACCTTTGTTTCCACTGTCGTTTGCCACGCTAAAGTTTAAAAGTATCTGTGTGGTTAAAATGCTTGTTCTTTTACTTTATGGTTTCTAGGTTTTATGTTTCTCTTAGAACTGCTGAGTAACGGTCCTGCAAAAATGCATACCTTTCTGCCCAGATAACATAATTAATACATGTTCAGTGTCAAAGAAAAAAAAATAGGAAAAGTACATAAAAGCACTTGTCATACATACATCTCCCCCAATTGCACCACTCAGAAATATACATTGTCAACATGTCAACATTTGGTGTATGTTTCCAGTCTTGTTTTTCTTTTACAAAATTAATCAGAAACTCTATTTTGCTTGGTAACCTATGCTCTCACTTAATACACCTTGAGTATATGCCTGGTAGTGATTCTTCTATAATATCAGATTTAATAGCTGTGTAGTTTACTAGCCTATGCATATACAATAACTAGTTGAACTGATGAAATCCCTATTTTTATTTTCCTTTTTGTCTTTTTTACTGACCGGTAACGGGATCGCAACCCTCGGTGTTGCGCCCGCACCGCGCTCAGCCAGTGAGCAGGAACCGGTCTCCACATGGGATCCGAACCCTCGGCGGGAGCGCTGCTGCACTCCCAAGTGGCGCACTCTCCAGTGCGCCACCGGGCCGGCCCTGAAATCCCTATTTTTAGTCATACAAATTGCTTCTGACTTTTTACTTTTACAAAAAAGGCTAAAATAAGTATTCTTGCAAATAAAGATTTGTGTAGTCTGGTTATTTAGAGAAAGTTCTAGAAGCATGATAACCAAGCTAAAGACTTGATCTGTATTTCCAAATTGCCTTCCAAAAGGTTTGTCCCAGTTTAGTCTCTCACCATGAGTGAGTAAAGTTGCTACTTCTCAGCCTCTCGTCTGCACTGAGCATTAACCTTTTAAAATTGCTCTCCATTATTTTAATTTGCATTCCATTTATTACTATTTGTGTTAAGCATTTTTTTCATATGACTTTTGGTTCTTTGTAGATCTTGTGAATTATACATTTATATTCTTTGCTCATTTTCTGCTAGTTGCCTTTTATTTATAAAACCTCTTTATTTGTTAAGAAAAAGTATCCATTAACTGTAATAGGGTGTAACCACATTCCCTGTATATCATTCACATTTTTATTTTGCTTACAATGATTTTTGATATGCAAGTTTTAAAGTTTTATGTACTCAAATCCCCTAGCTTTTTCTTTATAATTTCTTCTTTTGCAGTTATACTTAGAACATCTTCCCTTTCTTGAAATCAAATAAATTTTTACCTGTGTTTTCTTCTAATCCTTTCACAGTTTCTTTTTTATACCTAACTCTTTAATCCACCTGGAATTTACTTTGGTGTATAATGTGAAATAATGATCTGATATTGTTAACCAGCACCAATTATTGAATGATCTTGCCTTTCCTTGCTGATCTGAAATGTCGCCTTTATCATATACTAAATTTTTATATATCAGGACTCTTTTCCTGTGTGTTCTATCTTATTCTACCCATATAATAGTATCACACTATTTTAATCATGTGGCTTTATAATAAATAATATTTTTGACAGCTGGCTATGTAGGTCCAAAGTAGTGATTTGACTATTTTAAAATTCCCCAAATCATAATACATGTGCAGCAGCCTGCTTTGGTTTTGGGGTAGGAAGGTCTCAGGAAGTTGAAGGAGCTGCAGAAAGATCTCTTGGTAATTAAGCAGTGACGCACCAAGAAGGTGAGTCCTAGCAAGACTGAACCTTAAATCATCTATCACTATGAGCACCTTGGGAAGACCCTGATGGAAATCAGGAGGAACTGAATGGCAGGATGGATGGTTCAGAATCACTAAATCCGGGTGTGACCCAGTAAGCATAAGTGTGAGCTGCATTGACATACCTAAGGGAGACCTTGCGAAGAGTCAATAACTCACACACATAGGACAAGTGACAAGGTTTTGCTCCAGGAGAGGCAGTAAAAATGGTATGGAATATAGATTCTGTTGGGCTGGTCAACATTTCATAGTTGTGTTTGTTGGGCTGGAAAATGGTGTTTACTTATTTACAAGGCAATACATGAAGCATGAACCTACTTCACTAGGTTGGCTTAGGTGTCGAGGTCATTTGTTGAATGACCCACTCAGTGGGCCAGCCGACTTTGCAAGGAGAAAAGCAATGCAAAGTTCCCACGGACCTGAGGGTGGGTGTGAAATTTTATTTTCAGTCTTCATAGAGAGTATCCCAGCTTCTTCTGTGACAGAGGGACCGTGAGTGGGGAGTTAGGGACAGCAGAGGGAACTGAACTCACACTTCTCTTGCAGATTGTAATTTGCTTTGTCTTACTTCCATCCCTCCCCATGGTGCCCCAGGTGGGAACAGCCCCTTTTCTCTTCTCTCCCAGCTACTTCCCTGCCACCTCTGTAGTTCAGCGAGTGGAGGAGTGTGGGAGCCCCCTCTACAATCTCAAACATTAGGGGCATTCTCCTTCCCCCCACCGCAAGCTCTGAGACTGTTTTTGTTGACCAGGGCGTCCTGATACTGACTTCCCTTCCCTCCCCTCCTGCTCTCCCTGTCTCAGGTGCCTTCCACTTACTGTTCCGCAGGGATGTAGCCATCCACCAAAGGGCTGCACTCCACGCCAGCCACCTTCACGTGGGAGGCAATGTCCCGGAATTCCAGGCCCAGGTTCTCCCCTCGGATGGTGACCTTAGTGCCCCCCTCCCGGGGACCTGTCACTGGGATTATCTGGAGGGAGAAAAAGAGATCACTGGATATGCAGCCATCACTCACTTGCTGATGGGGCCAGGAGAGGCCACTGGCTCTCTCTCATCTTTGCCCAAGTCCCCAAGTGAGTTTAAGTCCACGAGGGCACCCAGGGTCTGGGACTATTGATGGGCAGTAGCTTTTAGTAAAGCAGGCCATGTCTGTGTGTGGTCTTAGGAGGGTGTTCAGAGTTCCTGCTGCATCTTCCCATTTCATAGAGGAAGCAATGAGAGCATGGACCAGGGTCAGCAGTGCTGCGGGGTAATTCATAGGCGACCAGGATGAAGGCCTGCGACATTTGCTTGTGTTGGTTCTACTCTCAAGGAAAATAAAAAACCTTCTTATCAACCCGCAGCCCTCCACAACTATGGGAATCCCACCATCTTTCAAGATCTTTCTCAAATGTCACTTCCCCATAACCAGATGCTTTCTCTCTCTCCACTGAAATTCCACGGCATCTTCTTTGTGCCACTTTTATGGTAACAGTTATTCCTGTCTGGTTCCTCATCCTTCTCACCTCCAAGCCCCTCCTCTTCAGACCATGAGTCTCTGAGTACAGGGACTGTCTCACTTCTCCTCGTGGCCTTTTCAGTGACCGGGAATTGTAACTGTATTGAAAACCGCAGCTATGCAGGCATCCTTCTGGAGGTACAGAGCACTTGTCACAGCACCTTCGCCTTCACCGTTTGGCTTGATTTCTCAAGGAGATGGGTTTAATTTAGACTTTACCCTTGTACACTGGTCAAAACAACTGGCTTTTGCCCCTGAAATGTCACCACCAGTATTAAAAACCCATGATTGGAATGTTAGGACTCAACCACCAAGGACCTGCTTTAGGTAGGAGCTACGTACAGTTAATATGATCTGATCACGACCTCCCACATTTTATAGACCAGAGAAGGGCACATTCCCATTCGGGGTGCCTCTGAGCACTAGCACCTGGACCTTGGCCAATGTCAGCAGGATCACAATGGAAGAAGCCCAGACAGTCCACCTCTAGCTCTTTCTAGCATGTCTTACTCTCCCCCTGCAAGGGTCACAAGCAGGGTCCTGCTCTGGGGTGGGTGAGGGTGGAAGATGGGCAAGTGAAAGAACCCAGGCTGGGTGGCCCAAGTGGCAGCAGTGCTGCAGGAGGCTGTTCACTACAGCAGCCAAGCTACCTCCCGCCTCTTACACAGCCCCATGAAGGTATGAGTGTTTGTTCCAGCAACCCTAGAAACCTGATATGACAGGGTAGTTGTGAGAACCGAGGAGGTAAAGGAGGCAAAGATACTGTGCGGACGACAAAGGGCCACACAAACGCAGGCTCTGAGGGTGACTGTCACTGTGAGACCGTCAGATTCTGTGTGCAGTTGTGAAACTGCATGAAGCCGAGCAGAAGTTTGTGCTCACTATTTACTGAGACAGAGACTGAGCTTCTTTCTTCCGCTTTGTTACTGTATCCGCATCCACAATGGCACAGATGTATTGAGCATCTCCCACGTGCTCAGCCCGTGCTAGAGGCCCGGGTGGAAGGCAGGGCCTGTGCTGAGCAACAAGAGAAAGAGCCACGCATGACTCTTCCTTATTCTAAGAAGGGAGCAAAGGGCTCCAACCACGGTGGGAAGCGGAACCTTAGGTGGTCTTTCTGCAAGGAGTGTGGACGGGGTAGGTGAAGAGACGGGGCTACCTAAATAAGCCCCAGGGGCAGCGACTCCTTGGCTCAGCCACCCGACAATGATTTTGACAATGGCGATGAATGAGGAGGAGGCTGGTGACATTCCCACGGGCCGGGCATGGAGCTGGGTGTGGCCTCTTGTGTGATCTAACTCCCCTGTGATGTGGCCGCTTAGACCCCTGCACAGGTGAGGCAGATGAGGCACAGAGATAGTGCTGAACCAACCCCGAGGTACCCTGCCTGGATTCAATTCCTCTTCTCTGCAACCCAAACGTCTGCATGTCTGGCTCTTCCCTCCCAGACTGGTGAGGACTGGGCCTTTGCTCCAAGGCCTTGTCCCCCTCAGCCCTCCTGAACTGTGCTCCAATCCACATCTGCTACTGTACACCCAGCGCCTGCTCTGGGTGAGTCCTGAGGCTTCTCTGCTGTGATCTTCTCCACCTCCCAGGGCAAGGCTCTGCCACTGGGACCTCCATGCAGCCTCTGCTCATCAGCTAACTGCTTGGTGAGGTGACTGCTGATGGAGCTTCACAGCTGTGTCACTGAATGTCTTGGAGACAAACGGAAGGGTGGTGAGGTCTGAGTCCTTTTGACATGCTCTCATGGAGACCCCAACAGAGCCTGACCCATCCCCGCTTTCTCCTTCCCTCAATTAGGGAGGGGTCTTGGAAGCAGGCCTATGCTTCTGGGGAAGCTGTCAAGGAGAATGAGGATGCCTCCCAGCCAGCCAAGCATGTGAGGCCACCTGGCGATCATGGGGTGACTGATCCCACAGACAGGCATAGTTCCCAGGACCCCCTGACAGGGTGTGGCCCGACCCTGGCTTACCTCTGTGATGCGGGGGTTTGTGCACTTGCTGTTGGCACTGGACAGCTCCAGCCACCGGCTCTCATGGGCAGGGCAGTGCTGGCGCAGGGTGCACTGGCCTGGGCCCTGGCACCAGCCACACTCAAAGTCGGGGTCGGCCTTGAGGCACAGCCCGCAGCTCTCGCGCCTGGCTCCGCACTTGTAGAGGTGGACTGCAGAGGGCAGGGGGCAGGAGATGCTTTGGGATGCAGCAGGGCCTGGGAGGAGCCCATGAGAGGGACAAGGAGCTCAGTCCCACCCTGGGATAATGGGACACAAGGGAGGCTTTGCCCCCTCAGCCACTCTGAGGCAGAGAAGAGCAAAAAGGAGTTCCTGGGTTGAGCAGAGGAGCTGAACAGGGAGCCTAGGCCACTGGTCTCCCTCCACTCTCAGCAGTCCTTCCAGCACGTCCTACTCACTCTGTGCCCCTCCCAGAGGCCACCAGCCCATGCCAAGCCCATGCCCAAGAAGTAACAGGGAAGTGTGGATGTTGGAGAGCCTGTGAAGGAGAGGCTCGGAGCCCTGGGAGGTGGGGGGGTTGGAAGGACACCTGCCAAAGAAAGGGGGACTGCCTCTGCTCCCTCCCAGCTGCCCCCTGCCTTCCCCCACGAGGCCCAGCCCTTCCACACCTCTATTCTGAGCGGGGTTGTCAATGCTGAAGTGCCCGTTCCACACGACTGTCAGCTCCACTGGCAGGTTGTTGATCTCCATCCCCTCGTAGGAATACTGCAGCCAGGTCAGTGGAGGAGCAAAGAAGAAAGCTGGGTCACAGAGGTTACTCGGGAGGTCCCTGAATGTTGCTCCTGGGGCCCTCAAGAGCGCCCAGGGCTAAGGAGTGGCCCAGACTGCGCATGTGTGCGTGTGTTAATGTGTGTGCACACACGTGCACTGGCACGTGTGTATGCGCAAGGTGGGGAAGCAAAGATTGGGGACTGGTGGGGCCAGGCCTCCGAACACACACCCGTGTGGATGCAGTTCAAGGAGCAGGTTGGAGCGAGCCACCACTTCTCCTAGGGGTCTCAGCGTGGAGGCTACAGCAGGGAGCCTGTCCCCCCAGCTGGCTTCCCCCAGGAAGTTTACCCAAGGCAGGAGCCCACTTCCTCCCTGACTGTCCAAGGTAACCCTGACCATGGGCCCTGCCAGGCCCACAATTAGATCGGACAAACTCTGACCTCTGGGAAATGTTCTGGGTGGGTGGATGCTTTACCAAAGACCTGGGGAGTTCCCAGGCCAGGAGAGTGGTGGCAGAGAGTAAGAAATGAAGGGGACAAGGGGCTTGGGGTTAAGAGAGAAGAGGACCAGCTGGAAGCTTGGAGGAGAGGGTGAAATCCTGAGGGGACCCTGGAGGACAGACCTGGGAACTTAGGCCTGGACACTAAAGGCACTCGCTGGCTCAAAGCCTGCACAGGCTCAGCTTCCTGCTGGGCTTCTTCTGCCCTTGTTGGGGTATGTGGGAAGGGTCTTCCCCTAGGCTTGCAGACGGTCCCCTGCAGAGGGCCCCCTGCATCCATGCCCAGGCCTCTTCAGGAGTCTGAGGCCCCCCTAGGCTAGGTCATGACTAAGAGATGGGGCTTGGGGATGGGGAAAGGGGGAAGGTGCTGTCTTGGGAGGCAGGGGCCACCCCCAGGCACGCAAGCCCCTGACTTGCCCTCTGAGAGCAGAGGCTTCTCAATCCCCAGAGAAAGAGGGTAAGTGGAAGGAACCCGGAGCCTGCCATGGGCAGCATTTCCAATCCCTACCTGGTGATTTTCTCATTATTCCAGCAGCCTCTGCCTGCCACAGGGGGCGAGATGGAGGAATGGAATTGAGACACTTTCTGTGCAGGAGGGGCTGAGAGCGGGCAATTTGTTGGAAGGGGTTAGTCCAGGAGATGTGGTTTGAAGTTGTGTTTGCAGAGCCAATGAGCTCTTTTAACTCAGAGTTAAAATCTGAAGAGGCTGGGCCGTGGGGGTGATGATGGACATCATGGGAAGCAATGGATGCTGCCCCTCCTCTAAGCTGGCCACAGTGTCTTCGCGAGGGGGAGGACAGCCACCAAGCATCGGGAATACATGGCCCCGGAACAGCCTCAGTGCCTGCAGCCCATGCCTCTGTCTCTGGGCAAGAATGGGTCTGCAGCCTTTTTGTGGGAGATGTTATAATCCATAATGTGGGACATTGCCCTAAATTCCTGAGTTACAGAATGTGCTCCAATGTGAATATGCTGTGACATTGTCCTCAAACAGTGACATAAGTTGGATGTGGTCCAAGCTTCTTTGGGCTTTCCTCTAATGTCTAAAATATTTAACTAACTCCCTGGCAACACATGCCCAGGCCAGGGGCCACGTTTGGTGTTTCTGACATAATGGAGGTGGTTTGTGCCACACTGTCCATGCTCTCACAGAATCTCTCCTGTGACTGATGCCACTTGGGCCGGGGACAGGGTCTGGGCTTACAGAACAAAGCAAAGCTCCCTAGTTCTGTAGAAAACACAGCAGAGACTTTGATCATTGTATAACTCAATAATCAGCTTCGCAGAGATTAAGTCCCTGTGGGCCAGGCTGGGTTGTCCCAAATTGTCCTGAATTTTCTCACAAAACCTTTTCCACTCTAGACCATTGGTTCTCAGAGTGGTCTATAAACGCCTTCATCAGATTCCAGGGCCCACCACAGACCTGCTGAATTGGACTTCCTGGAGATGGGGTACACTTTGAAAGAGCTACTCTGTGGTTCTGGTGCTGTCTAAAGCTAGAGAATCCCCATGTCTGGTGGAAGCAGGGAGGTGGTGGGCTTCCCGGTGGAGGAAGAGGTGCCCTCCCTATGTGAGAGAGGGAAATCTTAAGAACACTCCCAGGCCTCTCCGCCTGTTCCCTCCTCTAGCCAGGCCCCACTTCCTCCCATCCTTCCCATCTCTTGCTTGCGAGCCCCAGGGGGGAAAGGTGGTCATCTCAGCCTCGGGCTGCCAGCACAAGGGCCAGGGCAGGGCTGGTTGTTCCGACTCAGGCTGTGTACCATCTGATCACCCGGAGGCAGCGCTGCAGTGGGCAGACCTCTGGCCTCTGGGAGGGATGCCGGTGGTAGCTATGTCAGGATTGGAGCCCAGCCTCCGCCTCACAGGCCTGGGTCTGGCCAGGACCCAAAGCAGAAGCAGCAGGTGGTGACCAAAGGTCACTAGAACCTCCAGGCCCCTCTCAGGGCGGCCCTGAAATCCCCCAGAGAGGAAGGCAAAAAATTCTGCCTGTGGATATGTGTGAAGGTCTGTGCACAAGTGTGTTTATGTGCACGCTGACTTGAGAGGAGGTGAGTGCATGTGTCCATGTTATCTGTGTGTTCATAAATATGTGCACACACACACACATAGACACAAACTGCTGCGAGGTGGTTCTGCCAGTGACCAGCTGTGTGAACGTGAGCAGGTGATCCAAGTCTCAGCTTCCGCATTTGTAGATGGAAATTAACAACAGCACACACACACCTCCTAGGATTGCTGTGAGCATTTGAGAGAAAGCAGAGAGTGCTCTGAGCACAGTCGAAAGCCTCAGTTACTGTGCGTTTTAATCTATGTCTTTACACTTGGGGATGCTGTGCAAAACTCCATGTTCCCTGTGTTTATGTTTACGTGAAATAGTAATAGATTGAGTGTTTATGTGCCAGACACTTGGTACATATGGGGATGCATGCATGTGAGAATGCATGTGTTCTGTTGTGTGTGCGTGTCTGCGCACAATTTTTTTTTTAAGAGAATTGAAAATAAAAAAGACTTTAAGGATCAATCAAATATGCTGGACATCACTTTCTCTTTCTCTCCCCCATTCTTGGGATGACAACTATGAAATATTACAGAAATCATTAACCCTGGGTGCTCCCTGCCACCCGCCTCCGTCTCTAGGGAGGTCACTGTCATTCCTGGATGCATCCTACACGGGGTACAGACGGGGGCTCTCTGCCTCTTCCGACAGCTAGAGAGCTTGGACCCCTGCTCTCATCCACTGGACTCTCTTCCCTCTGCTCCACTTAGCATTTATATAGCTCTCTGTAATCAGCAGGCAGTCAGTCTGCACAAAGCTCAGTGCTGACAAGGACGGCTTACAGGCTCCTGGAGGCCAGGAGGTTAAGTGTCTCAATCAAGGTCTGGCACACTACGCTGGGCTAAGGGACGCCGTTACCCATCACCTTTGTGAAACTGTGAACTTCAGCTTCTCTTCCTTCTAAAGTGAAAAGAACGCCTCTGTATAATTAAGGTATTCTCCCCACCAACCATTCCTTTGTCCTGAGCTCTGAGATATTTTGCTGGAAAGTTCTACCATTTGAGCAAACAAATCTGAATAACATAGTGCCACACAAGAAGCAGGCAGGTGCACTGTGTCCACCTCTAGGACTCAGAGGGCTCGGCAGACCCGTTTTCAGCTGTGTAAGGGGACAGAGTTCTCTGCCCATCACTCTCCCCACCCTGAGTTACACGTGGTAGATTAAAGTGACAAGAGAAAACACAGGCCAGCGTGGGTCCGTGGGAGCTAGGCTGGAGCCCCAGGCCCCGAGGACCAGCACTCCAGCAGGCAGGTGCCCTTTGCAGTGCACTCGCTGGCATAATGGTCAGCCACTGAGAGGTGGTTGCCAGGCACTATTATTAGCAGCACTTGACATTTTCCTGGAGCCTCCGTCTAAAGTAGGCCATGAAACCCATAGTTGATCCCCCGCTGGGCGACTGCCTATGAGCCTGCCCTGTTCTCCACCCACTGGTCTCCAGGGGGTCACAGTCATTGGCCCAGGGCCTGTCCCCAAATAGCAGGGCTGGAAGTGACCCCACCTGCCCACCCAGCCCAGCATCATACCCACACTGAGTTTTCCTGTGTCTCCCCTTCTTTCTCTTCCCTCCTCCTTGGCCTCTGTTACCAACCTCTTTCTACCATCACCAACCCGGGGGTCTCTCTGTTCCATCCTTCCCCTCTTCCCCTCCCTCTACCCCCACTCCAGACTGCTCATGGATTTAGGAGAGGAAACGATCTCATCTTCTACACTATCCTCCTCTGAGGCTGATCAGACCTGCTCCCAGAGTTAACACCAGAGCTGGGGTATAAGGTGCTCTGTTGCTGCTTTTTGCCCCACCTTTGATTAGGTGGTATGTTCTGAACTTGCACCTCACTTGCGTCTGACGTAGGGATGGTCATTTGCCCTCTCTGGACCCCAGGGACCCCCCTCTGTAACATGATCAAGCAGATACTCTCTCAGGTCTATTCCTGCCTGATGCTATCTTCTTGCCTACAACTATGGAGGGGGAGGCTTGCCCCTTGTTATGAGCCCAAAGATTTTTTAAGGAAGTCACTCGGTGGCAAGTGGCATCCTGGCTCAGGCCAGCATTGAAACTGGGATCACACTGCCCTTATGAAAAGAGAAGTTCTTGGGAAAAGCCAGAGCCGAGTCCTCCTAAACTGTGTGATTCTGGTGGATCCTGGTAGGTGTGTGGGGGCAGGATCCTCCTGGATTCTACTGTCTGTGGAGTTCCCCTCCTGCTGCCTCAGCTTCTCAGACTTTAAAATGGTAGAGAAACAAACTCTTATTCCTGGGATGTTGAAATAAAAAAGTCATGGAGACAAAGGCAGCTGAGCTGCTTTAGGAGCAGCTACCTGGAGGGACCAGAACTGGTCCATGATGGGTGAGGAGGCTGCAGACTGACCCCTAACTGCAGGGGGCCAAAAAGCGGCAGAAGCCCTCCGCAAGTCCCAAGGGGACGATGGGGGCGGGCCAGGAGCTTCAAGTCAGGCCCTCCCCTTGGTGGTTACAGCCTTGGGCTCCAAGCCTCCAGGCCTCAGAAGCAGATCTGGAGGTCTCCAAGCCCATCCCTTGGGCGGCCAGTCAATTCCTCTTCCAGCCAGCACCAGGTACCCCATGGGGACAGCACAGAGGAGGGCACGGCTCTCCCCTGCTTGGGGCTACTGAGGTCCTGTTTGTGTCCTGTTCCCAGGAGGCTCTGGATTCGCTCCCACATTCAGGGAGTTCCATGTGACTGCTGTGGACTCCTTGGGTCAGGCAGCTCCAGACCTGGGAAGTGCTGAGGGCGGCTTGACACACCTGCTTCCTGCTCTGATGGTAAACAGAACAGCAGCGTGGCCCGATGAGCCCCTGGAAGCTAAAGTCAGTCCCCAGGGAACAGGGCGAGTTCTGACCAAGGGGTTTATAGGACTAACGCACACTATTATCTGGGACACCTTCGTCTATTTAACAGAGGCAGCTGAAGCACGGGCCACAAGGCCCAGGACTGTGACATCTGCACCGCTCTCAGGGAACTGAGGGCGCAGCCACCTGAGGTTGCAGGCTCTCTTCTCCCTCCTGATGTCTCCCAAATCCCCGGGGCAGCTTCTCTGAGGAAACTGTTTTCCCCACAGGCTGCCATCCCCACCTGCCTTCTGCTGAGTAAAATGTGGGGCCCAGGCTTTCTCTTTCCACAGGGGCTTTCTTACTTGGGGGAGAATCACTTAAGCCAAACCTGTGGGGCTCATCTTCCTGGCCTCAGGATTTAGGAGGAAGTGAGAGGTGTTCGATATCCCTTTGCTTGTAGGATTAATCTGGAGCACTGCAGAGATCTGAAAAACAGCCTGGCTGTCAGGGCAGGAGGGGAGGTGCACATAGGAAGCTGTGGGGACACATCTGGGGTTTCAGAGGTTGTGAGATCAGTGATGCTGAGCGACCTCGGGCTAGACTGGGCCTCTCTGAGCTCCATCTCCCCCTGGACTGCCTCCTGCAGGAAGAGTGGGATGTTCCCATGAAGTCCTTTGTCTGGACTCTCCTGGTCCCACATCACATCCCCAAATACAGGCGTTGCACCTAGGTATCCAACAGCAGCTAGAGGCAGCATGACACAGGAGGGGACCCAAAGCCTGGCTGCATGTCTAATTGTGTACTTACTATATTTCCATTTTTCAAAAGGCCCCAAATTGTACAGGTTTCAGCCCCACTAACCTAGATCTGCCTCTGCTTCTAGGCCTCTGTCTTCTTACACTGAAGAAGAACTTTAAGGTTTCTTATGGCCTGAGAATGTTAGGAGTCCGTAACTACTGTTCATCTCTGGGCATCTGGGTGCATAGAAGTGGGCCCAGGAAGAGAAGGAGAGAGACCAGAGCAGTGGCTGGGACAGCAACAGACAAGGAGAAGAGGTGGGGTGGGGGAGGGAGGTGACACAGTTGGGGGTCACTGTGTGGTACCTGGAGCCAGGCAGACAGCCTTACTGGCAGGGCTTGGACTCTAGATTTTCTAAACATCTAAGCAGCACACTGCCAGCCAGCCCCCTCCCATTTGATGGTTCCCTTTTGCCAGTGCTTGGGCTGTCTCAGAAGCCTTCCTTGCTATGTGGGTTTAAAGGTGGTGGGGGCCTTTGTGGGCTCAAATGAGGTACTCAGTTTAGACCTGTTAAGAGGCAGGACCCAGGGCTTCCAGAGCTTCTCCCAGGAAAGAATGTTCCTGGAGCCTGACACCCTGCAAATACATCTACTTATAAATGGGGTTCAGGGGCCCCAGAGCTGGCAGATGACCCTCAGCATAACATGGCTAGGACTAAGGCCAAAAACCTCATGCCTTCTGCTGCTGGGGTGGGTGCTAAGGGCCTGGCTGGAGGAGCAGGGCTGGGGAAGGTCTGGGCAGGGAGCTGAACAGTTTTGTGGGTGTTGGGAAAGACCTGAGCTGAGCTGATTTGGCTCCCAGGAGAGAAGAGTGGCAGGGCTGGGGGAGGGGTGGGCCACCCAGAGGGGGCAGGCAGGGACAGGCAGGGGACTCACAGAGGTGTTCTGGCACTGCACGCTAGAGCTGTTGAATCGCAGCGCGGGCACTCGCTGCTCGCCGCCCTGGATGTTGAGGATGCATTCGTAGCCACGCTGCCCCGACTGGGGCTGGGGGAGGTTCTTGGCCTTCAGAGTGATGGGCTTGATCACCTCCACAGGCACCAGGATCTTGTCCACGCGCAGAAGCTGGGGACAGTCCTGGAGACAGAGGGCAAGGCTCAGTTTCGTCAACCCAGAAGCCAAAGGAGCAAGGCCGGGATGTTCCCCAGCTCTGCCCTCTCATGGGCACACCCACAGGTGGCCCTGAGGCACTCGTGCCCACCCAGCACTGGGGAGGAGGAATGGTGTCACTGTCTTGAGGCCACTCCTCATGGAGGCTGTCCCCCCTCTGACCCTAGCAGAGACTGACCCTGCTGGCTGGGCATCCCGTCCACTGTGGACTGCTGACCTCTTTGCCTGTCGGGTTCTAGGCTGCCAAGAATTGGACACTTTGGCTACAGGAGAAGCTCCACGGTGAAGCACAGTCCCAGGTTGCAGCTGTGCCTGTGGAATCTAGATCACAGGCGGAGAGGCTAGAAGAACCATCCGTATGTGGGCTGAGTCTGACATTTGTGAATGTTTTAGAATGGGCCCCAGAAGCCTTTTTAATCCAGAAGTTTCTGACTGAGCTCTGTGGATGGCCTGACCCCAAGGAAATGCCCCTCAGAGTAGATACATACTGAGCTCCTTCTAGATGCCAGCAGTGGGCACACCTATCCCTGGAACCAAGTGGGACCCAGAGGGACTCTGGGGGTGGAGAAAATAGGTCCCTGTTTCCCGGAGCAATCAGCTCTGTCCAGGGAAAGCTGGGGGGAGAATGGGAAGGAAGGAAGGTATGTTTCTGGATTCTCAGGGGCTGGCTGGGGAGTCAGTATTCTGGACCTGATTGGTGCAGGCAGGAGTGAGCCCTTCTGTGACAGAAGCAAGGCCTGGGCACCCCTGTGCCAGGCAGGTCCCATCATGCACTGGACTCCTTCCTCTGTGGCACTGTCTGGGGCATCAGAAGCATGGCACACACATCCTTCTTGGGAACGCTTCATCACAGGCTCTCTCCCACCCAGCATGCATTTCCAGCAGAGAAAGGCAGCAAGGAGACCATGCGGGAATGGCATATGGAATGGGTCCTTGGCGATCACAGCTGTCCCTCCTAGGTCCCAAAGCAGACGTGAGCCAATAGCTCCCTGTGTTATTGAAAGCTGCGCTATAATAAGACTTGGGCTCTAGTACCCACTGAGCTACAGAGCCCTGAGCACATCACGTCCCCATTTCGAACTCAACCTCCTTATCTGTCAGTGGGGTGGGACTCCAAGGCCCCATCCATCTTAACCAGTCATGATTCCATGATTTGGGGGTGGTCGTCCCCTCTGTCCTTCCTGATCACTCAACGAGAAGTGGGCACTGGAGCCTGGCTTCAGGGAGCGCAGGCCCATTAAATGAATCCCTTCTCCCCCTCTCCTCCAGGCTGCGCACATCTTTATCCTCAAGAGCAGCTCCAAGGGGAGCAGCAGACCCTGCAGTCCCAAAAGAAGTGAGGCAGGGACTCAGACAGACACTTGCACACCCATGCTCACAGCAGCACTATTCACATAGCCAGGAGGCGGCAGCAACCCAAGTCCCGGACAGATGAATGAATAAACAAGATGTGCTATGTCCATGCAATGGGATATTATTCATTGAAAAAGGAGGGAAATTCTGACACATGCTACAACATGAATGGATCTTGAGGACATTCTGCTAAGTGACATAAGCCAGTCACAAAAGACAAATACTACATGATTCCATCTATATGAAGGATCTTGAGTAGTCCAATGCATGCAGACAGAAAGTGGAATGGTGGTTAGCAGGGGCTGGGGAGAAGAGAGAATGAGTTGTCTAATGGGTGCAGAGTTTCAGTTGGGGATGGTGGTGACAGTTGCACACCAACGTGAATGTCCTTAATGCCATTGAATGTGTCCTTAAAACTGGTTAAGATGGTAAATTTTATTATATGTGTATTTTACCACTTTTTCTTTTCCAAAAAAGAGGGGCAACAGGGAAGCAGACCAGCAGGAAGCAGGGGCCGTGGCCTTAACCTTGCATGTGGCCCTGAGGCTCTAAAGTGTGTGGGTCTCTGGAGACTTTGAGGTACCCCCATGGGAAGAGAGTCTTAGCGGCTCCATGCTGCATCCTGCCTCATGCTGTCCTGCCTCGTGCTGCCACCTCAGCCTCTGCTCTGGCAAGGCGGGGATGTGGATGAGAGGAGATTTTGTGAAAAGGGTGAAGCTCAGGGTTGCAGCAGGAGGTAACTCTGGGGAATCGGGGAGAGCCTAGGGCCCAGGCCAATAGTCCTGGCTACACCCCTCCTTCGGCCTGAGCCCTGGGCAGCTTTCCCTCCCCTGCAGCAAGCCTGACCTTCTCTCTAGCCACATCAAAGGAGGGACTTGGGTCTGAGATTGAATGACAGCCAGAAAGCACTGGTACCTCTCACCTCCTCCAACATCTAGCGAATGTGAATGGTGCACTGATGAGGGTACCCGGAACCCCTCTGACCAACCGAAGGGACCCCTTCTACTTTGCAAAGAAACTGAGGCAGGGAGGGGAAAATAATGGCTCTGTGTCAACAGATGAGCTGGCAGCTGCAGATCTCGGATCCCAACTGCTAGAGTCTCCGTGCTTCCTCCCTTAATGAAAGAGGCAAGTTCTCACTGGTGGGCAGGACCACTCTGGGTCCAGTGGGACTTGGGAGTTGCAAATCCCCCTGGAGCTGGGCTGGAGGACAGCATATGGGCAGATGCAAAAGTCTCCCTCTTATCCCCTATAAGATTCTCACTAAGGCTTGTGACCAGGTCTTTAATAAGTCCTGATTACCAGTGGCCCCATAAAGGCCTAGTTTGCATATAAAAAGGTTGGCCAGCTCTGAGAGTAAGTTCATTCATAATAATTGGAAAGACCCAGGGCTGGGCTGGGCACATTTTCATTTACTGAAGCTGCAGTGTGACCCCAGTGTCCCTTCTAATTGGAACATAAAATGGCAATTTTCCCCCAGGCAACAAGGCATGAAGGGACCATTTCCACCACGTTGTCCCTTCCTCCCATCCCATCATCCTGGATTCTGTCCTGTCTCACTTTGAGATTCCAGGTACAAAATCACCTTCAGATCTGATACTCTGCAAAATTCCAGAGGAACTTTCATGTTCCTCTGTGACTTGTGCCTGAAGCTCTGTTTAGGTCTGGGGGCTTAAGCCACCCAAACCTTTGTCCTCAACCTTAGAGGATGCTCAACTAGAAAGAGCTGGGCTGGGGAATCGTGTAACTGTGAAAGCAAGTCTGTCTTCCTCCTGCTAGTTGCAGAGTCTTGAAACGTGCTCTTATCACGGACTGGCTTAACTACGAATGAGGATTAAAATTCCCCTTCCAAAGGAGCATTTGGGGGAGTCCGTGAACTGACACAGTCAAAGCATTCAAAGCGAGCGAGCATTCAACAGATGTTTGTTCTTTGCTGTCTTTCCCCAGCCAGGCTGCACTGCTGTCCCTCATCTGCTCTCTCTTCCAGCTCATTTACAAAGGCCCCATCTCCCTTGCCTCTGCCACTGTGCACTTTTCCATAAATCCCCCTCAGTTCCCGCTGTCCCCCTTATTCCAGCCTTCTAGGCTTCACATCCTAGTATCAGATCTGTAGGTGATTTTGTATCTGGAATCTCAAAGTGAGACAGGTCACAATCCAGGATGATGAGGTGGGAGGAAGGGACAACGTGCTGGCAATGGTCCCTTCATGCCTTGTTGCCTGGGGGAGAATTGCCAACAGCTCCAAGTGCCCCCAAACACAAGGGGGACAGGTAGGGAAGTCCCAGTTCTATCTACTGCTCCCCTAATGGTAGTCCCCTCTTCTGGGAGGTGACATCCCGAAGCTGCATACTCCATGTGCTCTGAGACAGGAGAGCCACCAGCCAACTGTGGGGCCTTGAGCATGTCCCTCGAACCCTCTGGGTCTCTTCATCCATAAAATGAAGAGGTTGGTTTGGATTAGATGACTTTCATGATCCCTAGAATATTGTAACATAATAAGAAATACATATTTGTCCTTTGTCCCTGGTTCCCAGCCCAGTGCTTCTAAAACTCTTGGAATTTCCTGAGCAGTTGGGGTGAGAGGAACATTTTTTGTTATTCATAATAAGCCCCTTTCAACCACACCTGAGTTTATGTGAATGAGGTGAGTCTTGTAGCATGGAGGCCAGTTGCCCAAGTAACCAGCCATGTGATTAGAGGGTTGGAACTTTTAGTCCCTCCCCTGCTCCCTCTCATCCCCAACTTCTAGGAGGGGAGAGGAGTTGGAGATTAAGTTTAATCACCAATGGGCAATGATTTAATCAATCATGCCTATATAATGGAACTGCCATAAAAACCCTAAATGAAGGGGTCAGCAGGCTTCCAGGTTGGTGAATACATGTAGGTTTCTGGAGGGTGGTGTGCCCAGAAAGGGCATGGAAGCTCTGTGTCCCTTCTCCATACCCTGCCCTATGTATTTCTTCATCTGGCTGCTTAACTGAATCCTTTGTAATGTCCTTTATAATAAACAGGTAAATATATGTAAATGTTTCCCTGGGTTTTGTAAATCATTATAGCAAATTATCAAACCTGAGGAGGGGGTTATGGGGACCCCAGTTTATAGCTGGTTGATCGGAAGTGTGAGTGACAATCTCAGACTTGTGATTGGCATCTGAAATGGGGGCAGTCTTGTGGGACTGAGTCCTTTAACTTGTGGGATCTGATGCTAACTTCAGGTAGATGGTATCAGAATTGAATTGAATTGTACGTGACCCAGATGGTGTCCAAATAGAACTGGAGAATTGTTGGTGTGGAAAAAATTAAGACATTTGGTGTCAGAAGTGTGAAGAATGGAGAAAAGCATTTTATTTTTAATTTAGTCCCAGTTCTATTACAAGGGTACTTCAAAAAGTTCATGGAAGGATTTGTATTATCTTTTTTTTTTTTTAATTCTATGTCTCTTAAGGCTGCTTTTTAAAAATTTATTCTTGTAATTTACTTATTGATATTATTATTATTTTTTACATTCTAAGATGTGGAGCGATTGGAGAGGGAGGAAATAGGGTGGGAGGAGTAGGAAAGAGGGAGGTCTTAGTCAAGGCCCATGGCATCCCCCTCATTCCTGCAGGGGAGAC